CTATTCTGATCCGGGAACAGACTGCCGAGAATGAGGTTAGCGTGTCTTTTTTTTTTCTTCTTTTTTTCACATTTCTTCACCGACGGTGTTTTCAGAAAAATAACACGTTACAAAAAAAATTCCTTTTCGCTGCATTTTACTCAAACACGGCTTTTCCATTACCCAGGCGTGGATTAAAGAACGCCAGAGGAGACAAGCGTTTGTGGTCGTATTGTTCTCCGGCTTCTAAAAAATGCAAAAGGTGTATTGTAAAATAGCAGATCAGTAACTGGAACAATCTTCTGCGCCCATTAAATATTCACAATGACTCTCCAACTAGCCGCTGAATGGCGGCAGCGATATTATATTCCCGGGATGGATCTGGATGACGGATGGAATTCGAGGTGCTTTTTACACTGGATGTCAGTACGGAATGGCACTTTGGTCGGTGCAGTCCAAACAGAAAACTTTTGTTGCCATATCAACAAAGGCGTTTTCCTTGTTGGAGTTTTCACAGCATCACAATGCATTAATCTCTTCCTGCTCATTGTACCTGTTTCGTCTGCATAAGCTGCGGTGCCTGCTCGGCGGTTTATCTTTTTCAAGCCTTTCCGAATCCTTGAGTCGGAAATGACTAGATATACTGCAAGGCAATTCAACATGATGGCGAAGCTTAAAGAGACTCTGTCACTTGGGGAGGAACGGGGGCTCTGTCACTGAAGGTATGAAGTAGAGGTACCTAGAGGGTGCAGATATCATAGCAGAAAAAAAAGATAGAGAGAGCAATAAAAACAGGTCTTTAACATTAACAATTAAAGGATCAACCTATGCACTCAAATGTACCCAGCAGAAAAGATGCAGTCTACACAGCTGGGTATGAAAAGTAAAAGCAAAAGCTGGGGGCCAGCGGCAATGCTAGGGGAGTCCTGCAATCGTTCCTTCTCCACCTCAAGGTTGGCCGACAGACCAGGCAGCTGGGAAGGCAGTAGCCTGCCCCTGCACAATTTTCCATGCCAGCGCTATTTCCATGCCAGCTATAATAACATCCTCAGTTAATGTCACTGCCCACTCCATATTATCCAAGTCAATGTGTTTCGGGACGTGTCCCTCTTTGTCAAGCCAGATACGTGTGCAAAAATCACAGCAACCTCTTAAACCTTGTTGTGGTCACACTTTGAGTAGTTCTCACTGGCACAGCTATTTACACCAGGACATTAGGTGAATGAATAGCATCCCTTTGGGTGGTTTCTTAACTGCAGCAGCGTTGATCTACAACCTCCATTATCTTGCTTAGTTTTGGCACTTCCTGAGAGTGCCAAAACTTGCCAGCCCCTTCTGGCCTCCCATGATTTTTATTGGTCAGTGAGGCTGCCGATCATAGTGAGGGGCCAACAGGAATGTGTGGGGGTCGGGCTTAGCTGCAAGCTCCGACACTACTCAGAAATGTTGGAACTTAGCCTGTCATAATGGCATGGCACTTGGCCGTGTAAGGAAAGTCTGAGAGGCACCGTTAGGTGCCTACACTTCATACCTGCAGGAGTCTGCATCCCTTCCCCGTTGTCACAGGGAAGTCAATTAAAATGAAAACGAAAAAAAAACAAAACCTTTCCTGAGGAAAGTATGGAAGACGCCATTGCTGCCTTTTCATTTTGCAAATGCTTGTTTCTGGTTGTTATGCTCACCCTCTTGCCTTTTAAGTCACTAACCCAGAACATGTATGCACATAAGGAGTTATTAACATTGACTTTCCTCATCTGCAAGCTTGCTCTAAGTCAATAACTGAGAAAGTATTGAATTGATTGGATTGGCACAACAGCCAGGCTTCTAGAATTTCCAGAAGGAGGTCAGCAATGGGATCATGTCCCGTCCTTTAACCACTTGAAGACCGACATGGACGGAAGGTGGTTAACTGGCTGCATGTTTGTTTGGGGTAAGTGACTCATGAACCAGTAAAGGCTGATAAGAATGATTCAGTTCTCGAGCTATAAAACCGACGTGTGAGAGCTGCAGTGTCACACATCGGCTCTAACTATGGGTAGGAGTGCATTTCACCTCCTCATTGTCCTCCTTTAAGGCAAGGCCACATTGCTTTTTGGCTTTGTCGGTCTTTCGCTGCAGCTGTCAGTTATTTATAATTAAAAGGCAAGCGCGAATATTAACATTTATAAAGTCCCATAAACAGGCTCTATAGTGGGCCTTAACCACTGTCTAGAGCAGCAGACCCCACCGTCTAGAGCAGCAGACCCCACCGTCTAGAGCAGCAGACCCCACCGTCTAGAGCAGCAGACCCCACCGTCTAGAGCAGCAGACCCCACCGTCTAGAGCAGCAGACCCCACCGTCTAGAGCAGCAGACCCCACCGTCTAGAGCAGCAGACCCCACCGTCTAGAGCAGCAGACCCCACCGTCTAGAGCAGCAGACCCCACCGTCTAGAGCAGCAGACCCCACCGTCTAGAGCAGCAGACCCCACCGTCTAGAGCAGCAGACCCCACCGTCTAGAGCAGCAGACCCCACCGTCTAGAGCAGCAGACCCCCTCATTTTAGTCACCATTCTGCAATTCAACAGCCTAATGCCAAAACCTGCATGACCAGAAGAGGCTCTAGCATTGGACTGTTGAATAAATAATATGCTGGCTTCTTACAGCTCTTAGAACCTCAAGTGGAAAGATACTGCCACTGGAATTGTCAGTTCTGCTCTACAAATATGGCCAGTAGAAGGCCAAATGCTGGCTTCTCACTCTGCCTAAATGTATTACCTTACTGCAAATGTGTTGAAAGTGACAGATACACAAACTACTGGAGAGAAATCTGTCCACCTGAATCATCTACATAATATAAGATATGTGCATTGTAAGTAAAGAACATGGGATAATAATAATATTATTATTATTATTATTATAGGCTTCTCCACTAGAATAATCACCAGTTTTGGATGGAGTTGACTTTTGCTGGCTCTTAGGCTTGAATGATTGGATCCTAAATTCTTTAGTGATGTGTCAAATCACTGGTCTAAGACATGTATGGCAACACTGGTTCTGTGCATTACAACAAGCATGGAAACTATGAAGATACATCACCAATGGCGGTGAGATAATAAACAGAGCTAATATGGCTGCAGTCCCGCCAATTATTTCATTCAGCAGAAGTGAACCTTTGCCATGCATACAATGAATGGACCTGACACAGTCCTACAGCTGCCAAACCCAGAACTACCTTCAAAAACCTGGTAAATAGAACGAGACGCTGGATAGCTTCTTTTAAGCACCAAAATGGGTTAAGGAAAAAAAAGAGAAATAAAATTAGAGGTCAGACGTAGCACAAAATAAACTTCTTTTAGCCTTGAGAATTTTTTTTTTTTATATTTTATTTTGCATCTCTGCAAAATTATGCATTTTAAAAAGACTGCAGGCAGGGAAATGATTGTCAGTCATGCAAATAATCACTTACTTACACTATATGCGTTTGGTTTGGATAAAGCAAATTACCATTTGAAAATAACTCAAAAACACTCAGGGCTAAGAGCTGGCTTTATAAATCTCTGTTTGGCCACAGCAATCCCTTAACCTTTCTCGTCTCCATTTCCACTCAGCTAGTTACAGAGGCGCAGTGCAATCCGTTAACTAAATGAACTCAGGGGCTATTCACATGGCGCACACAATCATTAGACAAGGTCATTGGAATTTTCTTATGTGTATATTTACCTTTTTGTTTATGTGTGCTATATGTAGAAATTCTGCAGGTCCCCCTCCCCCCCAATAAATAATCATCATTGCTAATGAGTTGTCACTTTGCTGTATTGTTCTGGTTTTCAAATTTTACTGGTGATCTGCGAAAAAAGGGGCCACACTGATCATGGTTCCTGATTGCAATGCAAGGCCCAACTCCAGACAATTGTGTTTTAATTGTTTCCCCCTGTTGGTGTAAAAATAGAAAAGCAGTTTAAGCTGCAACACTTACCTTTTATCTGGAGATGCCACCCCCACGGCACCCTCTCTTTTCACCACAAAATGTCATCAGACTTCTGGGTTGAATGATGCCCAGAGTCAGTGGTAGTGCAAGGCGCCATAGGCCCGCCCCCTGAGGGGGTGTCAGCATGCTTCCCTACATTCACTATAATTGTGCTGAGAGTGGTGCTAACATCAGCAATGCTCTCTGAATCATTGAGGTGAAGATTGAAGAGGACCCAGCATATCACGTGACTGGCCAGAAGAACAAGGCATGTATTAAAAAAAAAAAAAAAGAGCATCAAATACTGCTAGGGGAACTTTCAGGAAGGGGGAGGCGAGCATGGAGTTGGGTTTTAAGTAATGGACAGTGCAGGCCACAGCAATTTCAGGAAAGCAGTGGCGCACTTCCCAATACTTGAGCTGGCATGTGACACACGCCAGATCTATAGATCAAGAACTGAGCAATCACAAACCCCTGATCGCTCAGCTCATGGCTTTCCCCATGCAGAGAGCGCTGCCAGTCATCCACTGCTCCCAGCAGGGCTTCCCCCTTCCCCTCTCTGCTCTTCCAGTGCTCATTGGAGGGACAGACAGGGGAGGGGGTGGACCCAGCTGGCTTTGGCTCTATAGTGGCAAAGCCAGCTGTCAATTAGGAAGCGGGGTGGATCAGGACAATATTGTTGGGATCCTTCCTGGCTTCAGCACGGCTCTGCACTGTTAGCAAATAGCCAACAGTAGCCCGTTAGATGCTGAGTTTGGGTCACAGGAGGATATTAGTAAATATGCTCCTGTGACCCAAAAAAGAACCAAAGCCTCCCCTATAAAAGTTTGGCTTTAGTTATCTGTGAAATGCACACCATACAAACATTCATGTTACTTGTGGAACTTTTCAACATACGCTTTTATTTTGTCTTCTATTTGTCCCTAAATCTTATACTTATAATAAAATACTTTACAATGATTCAAGCACGCAGGGTATTCACCTTGCAGGAGGAGAAAAGGCAGGGACAACGTCATGACATAACTGCAAAAAAATGAGCATGAAGAAGCTAGACAACATGAGGAATTACATTACCGGCTGACATCAGGGAACTGGACTGGAAAGTGAATGACACGACATTTGGGTCTAATAAGCCGCTCCAGATCTCGCGGTCGATGGTCTGGTATCATCTTCAGGAAAGTGCCGATGGAGGTTAGGAAAGACTCCATGTTGAAAGCAGAGTTAAACACCATGATGTCAGCAACTAGACTGCAAAAAAATGAGGCATTTGAGTGTAAAGTAAATATGTCCTATATGAACTAAAAGAAAGAATTCTCCCCTTATCTAGGCCAAAATGACAGCATTTAAGGAAAAAATACAACATTGATTTAACCTTCAAAGTTTTATAGCTTTATAGAGAACCGTCCATGACTGAGCTCATATAAGAATTTGACCATTCAGTTATATTTAAACAGGACTGATTATAGAAGAACTTCAGGAAATTATTGTCTCACCCTTGCAGTGGGGCTACCCCCGCACTGCAAGGGTTAACTGCTCCTTTTGGTCTAGGGAAGAAAATAAAGTTATACTCGCCTTATCCTTGGAGCCGCCTTGCTCTTAGACCGGTCCCTGGAGCCTCTTTCCCCCTCCGCTCTAGCGGTCTAAGGTCCGTGAGTCATCACGGGGAAAGAGCATTTGCCCAAAGGTAAGTATTAGTGATGAGCTCGGGCGTGTTCGCAGCTCTACGTGCCGAGCCCGCCAGGAAGCTGACAGCGCCAATCACAGGTACTGAGACATTATCCCGGTCCGCAGCTGCAGAGATTGGGATATGTCTAAGTGGCACTGTCAGCTTCCTGGCGGGCTCGGCACGGGGAGCTGCGAACACGCCCGAGCCCATGACTAGTAAGTATAGCAAGGGGGTAGAGGGGACCCGATTGGAGGGGCTAATTCCATTTTCCAAAATTCACCTGGGAAAGTGGAATTACCCTTTAAATACATCATAATAAAAAAAGATTTAAAGAAAAGGCTACACCAAGATAACATAAGGCTCGGAACCTCACAGTTTTTAAAGCTCACCTTATCAAAAAGGCAAATCCTTTTGCTTAGTTATATTGTCCATCTGAATCTTTCCTTTCTCAGAGAGTTCGGTAGTAAGAATTGTGAGCAGTAATCTGTCTCTGCTCCTCCCACAAGGCCAGAATGGAAGCATAACTATCTCAGAGTTGGACTCCCCATTGAGGGAGAGTTACACCACAATTTATCTTTCTAGTGGCTGCTGTGGTTGCAAAGAACTAAAAACATTGATAAAGAACTGAAATTATCAAGTTGTGAAGATCCCATATGTGACTAAACCCTCCCATAAAAAATAAAAAAAAAGCAGAGAACATAAATATCTATTTTGCATGGGGTGGACCTTTAAGACGCTATCCGTGGACTAAATGCATGCATTGACAGGCCATGAGCTGCTAATGCTGCTGTTTAACATTCATTTTTCAACTCTTTAATTCATAGAATCCTCTTTAGCCTGTCTGCATAGCATATCCATTTTATTTAGCGTAAAGCATAACAATACAAGCCATAAGACACACGTATGGAGATGATTACATCAAAGACTAAACTTCCTCTCAGCTCCCATACTGTCATGTGCTTGTTATACTAAATAATACAAGATGGCAGTAATGAAGAATTTATCAAGGAATATGTAGGAACAAGCGAGGACCACTCAGACCCTCTCCTGGGAGGATTGTGAAGCACAATAAAAATCACCTAAGCACAGCTTAAAGGACAAGTGAAAGGAGGACACTAGCCTCCTCTTAGTTCAAGAACTACTGATATGCTTAATAAATAAACAAGTAGGAATTAATTTATTAATACAGGACTTGATATTTGGCATATTTTATGTATTGGCTATTGGCTATTAACGTATGTAAACTCTAACAATGAACTTCTCTTAATTGCTCCATTTATAACAAATGTATCACAAGCTTTTGTCATAGCTGCTCAATAACTGCAAGACAAATACCTGTTGATCCTGCCAGAAATCCAGGGCTGCTAGTACAGTGGCTTAGTGGTTAGCACTTCTGCCTTGGAGGACTGGGGGTCCCCAGTTCAAATCTTGGTCAGGTCATATCTGCAAGAAGTTTGCATGTTGTCCATGTGCTTGCGTGGGCTTCCTCTCCCTGGCTGTCTCTCCTCGCACTCTTTCCTCGCACTCTCTCCTGGCTGTCTCTCCTGTCGCAGGCACAGCAAATCTTCTGCAGCTTTTTACCTGCTTCCTGGCTCTACACGCTTGCTGCCCAGGCCTCCCGCAGTGCTAGTGCGACCAAACATGTTGGGCGTTGCAGGTGGGGATAGGACGCACTTCCCAGTCTACAGCGTCCGACACATTCGGCCAAACTAGCACCGCAGAAGGAGCTCAGGACATTGAGCCAACTTGCGATAGCGATCTACCAGTGTTATCTTTGCGATTGACTGGACGATCGCAATCAATCTAATGGGCAGACCAGCTCTGAAAACATGCTGGAAGATTAGTCCTCTCTAAATTGGCACTGTGCATGTGTGTGTGTGTGATAGGGAGCTTAGATTATCTATTGCCCACAGGGACTGATGTGAATGCACAGTAAATCTCTGCATACATTTTGGGGCTAAACAAATACCTGTTATAAATAAAAATATAGCTTACAGTATTTGTGTATCACTCAGCTGTAGACCCTCAAATCATCTCTGAATTGGTGCCGACACTGTCCTTCCTTCTGGAGGGGGGCTACTTTTGTTCCCCAAGGTCCCTGTATGTGTTGTAAAGTAGTCACCGCTCCAAGCTCACTCCTGGGATGGACTACAATCTCAATAAAAATGAGTAAATTAAATATTTTTTTTTAATTTTTTTTATATAAACTATATGGGGACATATGTGAGATCTGCTCCCCATTTACAAACCAAATTAAATATGAGATTGAAGTCCATCCCGGGAGCGAGCTTGGAGCGGTGACTACTTTACAACACACACAGGGACCATGGGGAACAAAAGTAGCCACCCTCCAGAAGGAAGGACAGTGTCAGCATCAATTCAGAGATGATTTGAGGGTCTACAGCTGAGTGATACACAAATAAGATACGTTTTTGTTAATGGTTAAAGTACCTGAATGCATTTTTAAGATGTGATTCTAAGATGTCATTTTAAGATGTTTACTTTAACATACAAATGAATTATCAGTCGAGATCCCTGAACATTTCCCTAATCTGACACACACATGCAGTCAGATCACTGTGTGAACCTCAGTGAAGGTCTTCTTAATAGACAAGATCACTGCCACTGCATGTAACAGTAGTATGGGACATGGCCGAATCATCATATTTTAGCTCAAACGCAGCTTACATAAAGTAAGCCTTGTGAGTGATGTCCTATTCGATCATGAAAATGGCGAGCCTTCCTTGTTAAAGGTCTACAACATTACTTAACTCAGCGTGAAGCGTTCACCGTTAAAGTGATGCTGATTTGCTTCATTGGGCATAATGGAGCAAAAGAGACATTGTGTGTTGCGGAATTTATCAAACTGCTTGCTCACACTCCATTATACAAGACAAAGCAAGCTGACCTCTAATTTTCTCTATTCCAGGCAGTGAAGTCGCTGCTATCTGTCCAATGATCCACACAGCACACGAGAAGAATTACAAGATTTACAGGAAACAAGCAAATTAAACTCATGGCATATTTTGAAGCATGAGGAAAACTGAGAGATACAGACACTGGTAAGCCAAAGACTCAACTCTGGCCAAAACTTTTTGACTTACCTAGCATTTATTTTGCTGCATATTACAGATGCCATCATATTTAGCCTCTCATTTCGCCATGTGGTGCTTTGGTGAAATTTACATGAAAATTAAAAATGATTTTCATTTAGGAAAACCTTATGTTGCTCTGCAAGCCACCTCTATTAATTTAGAAGTATTAGGAACGTAGTATGTACTCTTCCCACCTCACATTCTTCTCCCTTGCAGAGAGCATTGGCTGTCAGTCACCACTCCCCACAGTAATTTCTTCCCCCCACACCTTCCTCTGTTTCTCCATCGCTCATTGGAGGGACAGACAGGGAAGGGGGTGGCCACAGCTGGCTTTGGCTCCAGAGAGGCAGAGTGTCACGTACCTGAGCGGAGACGGAATGGATGAGGGCGCTGCTCTTGCGCCTCTTGTCCAACACCCTTGGAAGTGGGGACTTGGAGTGTGTGGACACAGAGTAGCATGTGTGCCGATGAAGCAGACTGCACTGCGTGAGTCCAGGAACCCTGGGGATCCGACTGGAACAGGAGACAGAAGCGTGTCGAGAAGATAGTCTGAGGTCACAGCCAGCCGGGCAGCGAAGTACAGAATCGAGAACCAGGAGAGATGTCGGGGTCACAGGCCGAGGTCGAGAGCAGCAAATCAGCGAGTTACCAGGGAGAAGGCAGAGAGTAATCCAGCAAACAGGCCGTGGTCAGGAAACAAGCTGAGTCAGGTGGTGCAGGAATCAAACAAACAGATCAGATCACAGGGAGACAGGGACAAGCTGAAACTTTCCAGCAACCTGTGCACATTACAAGCTTGTTTATATAGGCCAGCCTATTAGTGCATGTCCTATGCAACTTCCTGTGCGCCACCCTGTTGGTCCGTGCACGTCTTCTTTCATGCGTTTGTGTTTCCACGCATGTTTCATACTGCACACTTTCGTGCATGCCTGTGCACTATTGCCTGTTTGGCAGTACGTGCAGGGCTTTTCTTACACAGAGCAAGGTGTCCATCAGGCAGCAGGTTGGATCCTGAAATATTGCCGGGATCTTTCCCGGCTGCAACGCGGCTCTGCACTCTCCGCAAAAAGGTGGGCTGTAGCCCGCTAGATGCTGACTTTGGGTCACAGGAGTATATTAGTAAATGTTTTAAACCAAATTAACAGCGCTAGTAAGTGAATCAAAAAACCATATAATCGGGTTTGTGAACTACAAAATCACCAAAAAAAAAAAAATCACATCAATGCAAGTGCCGTTAATCAATAAAAAAACACGGCACTGTAATAGTTAATAAACCTGTCTACGATTAGGAGGTGATTTTTAACCAAGTGCTTCTAGGTGTCTCAGTGTGTAAAGATAAAGTGGATCAGTCTATACACATTAAAAAATCCTTCACTTTTTTTACACCTTCATGTGCATTAATACCATTAAGTGACAAGTCATATGCGTGAAAAAATTCAGGTGGGTAAACGAAAATAATTGCGAATGACAATTAATTGTGCTAAACAAAAAAATATATGTAAACGGATAAAGTCTCTGTAATATACAGCTCCGCTTCAAAGCCAAAAAGCAGAGCATTCCAATGTTCGGTAGAGTAGTGCTTTCCTGGGGTTTGTATTAAGATCAATGCATCCCCCTAATAGAGTGCGTACTCACCCCAAACTTTCGGCTGTAACAGACAGCCCCAAACGCTTTGTCTGATGGGACACCGTTACTGCGGCGTCTTTCGTATCTCACTTTTAGGGCTCATTCGCACAAACGGGCAAGCATTAATGTGCACATAATTCGTACACTAGTGTGCACTCTACACACTCACTGCGATGTGTTGTAAAACTGATCTCAGTGCTTGCTTTCTTTTTTCCTGTTGTTTTTTAACTTTAGTCAACTTGACATTTCATTTGACTCATGGTATGGACTCATGCATGGAAGTATGTTGTGAAATGTGATAGCACGTAGGAATGTGCTATCGTTGGTGCTGTGTTAGTGTGAGCTCATCAATAGGGCATAAGGAAAATTGCCTTGTCTATGCATCGGGCAACACAGTCCGACAGGGCTGGGAGCCTTTAGGTGGTTGTTTTGACCAAATAACTCTCCTTTGCTCGTCCGGTAGACTCGGTGGGCTTGTGGGACAGATATACTAATGGTTACAGTGTGGAAATTATCCAGGCAGAAGGTGTTTAAAAGCACACCCTTGTTGCAAATCAGTTCAACAACTCCTGAATGCTTATGTGTACAGGTCTCACAGTATGCCAAGACTACCACCATGATATATCCGTGGAGTTACTGATCACAGGAATCTCCAGCACATGACTAGTAGGCAAACAGAAAGCCTGTGACAAAAGTTGTTGCTAGTGTTTGCAAACTGCAAGTAATTGCAAAGCTTATCATACTAGTAGTTGTTTCCTCATAAACAGATCATTATCATCTCACTACCTGATGGATTACTTCTGTTTTTCCAACTGGTAAACTTTCAGTCAATCTACGCATCATGCATATGTTTCTCAGATGTAACCTTTCCGCACATGACATTCTATCATAATCTATCATGTGAAGCTCACCCCAAACCGCTTACAATGTTTTATACTCAAAATAAAAAGCCAATCAACTATATCCCGACCTGAGTTTTGACTATTGGCCTCCTCGGGGGAAAATGTTATATTAGTATAATAAATTGTAAGAGATTTGTCTGTAAAAAAAATAAATCAAGACAACTGGACTTGCTGTATTTTTCTTAAAGATCCTTCGCTGGTCATCCGACCAGCTTTCTCCATTCAAACTGGTCATCCGACCATCTTCAGAGAAAGCTAGTCGGATGAGCAGCGAAACATCTTCAATAAAAATACAGCAAGTCCAGTTGCCTTGATTTATTTTTTACAGGTATACCATGACCTGGGTGAATGAGAACCTTCACAGACATGTAAGAGATTTGGTACTCCCTGGTCTGCACTATTCCTCACCCACCTACAGTTAGTTCCACACCAACCACAATGAGAGAGTAGCAGAGGAGAAGCCCGTAAGTGGAAGGTCCATGGTAACCAGAGTGAACGTTATGATGAGAGAGCAATTAAATCTATTGACGGTTACATTTTAGCAAAAACTGTATCGTGGGACAGAGATTTTTTTTCTGAACTCCTGTACCCAAGCAGTGCAGCGAGGTGAAATTAGAGGCTAATTTCAACCTAATCTGTAATTTTGTAAAAACAATTTAGCCAGTACCACTCCATTCATCCTTTTACCTGTTCAGTCTGATAGTCAACAAACTAGGAAGAGGGAAGATCTTCTATCAAATGTTCTGTCAAATAAACTGAAGGTAAGGAGACAGCTCCAAAACGAGGACAAATACAGCAATAGAAGATGAGGTCTTCCTAACTAACGTTTGGGCTTGAAAGGGCTTTACTTCTATTGTTTCTTTTGTAATTGTTCAAAGGTGCAGGCCAAACACAAAGGGATTGGTTGCTTTGGGTAACACAAATGGTCTAAAACAATTACTTTCTCCTTGGACACCTTTGGTAAGGCACAGAGACTTTATTGCGACACCTTTTTAGAGGGCAACATTACAATGACAAACCGACAGCTGTGGGCATGGCAAAGAATTGTATTGCCACAATGGGCCTCGACAATGAAAAATGCTGAGCGTCATGATTTTAGGTCACAGATGTCACTCTGTTAGAATGACATTAACAATGCATATTCAGGGAAGTAAATCTATACGTACCATGAAAGGATTTGGTTATAGCCATACTGGAAGTCTCTTTCTTGATTTTTTCTCACAGGGTAGACCAACTGGTTTTCATGAAAGTACAGAACCTTCTTCAACTTCGCCAGATCGGGCCGAAGGGCTACAAGTTCAGCCAGGTTTAGCACAGAGCTTGTGAAGAGGACCCTAAAAAAAGCACAAGAGTTTCACTCTTAAGCTGGTCATTCACTCTTAAGCTGGTCATACACCTAACGATTATCTGCAGATTTTCTATGGTCAGATGGGGTCAGAACAGGTTCCCCCATCTATGCTAAACTGTGTGGATGGAAGAAGCTCCCACTGGGCCAAGCTTCAGTATCTTGCTAGTTGGCCCCGCTGGCTCTCAAAATAACTGAACAATCCGATAGGATGCCGGCATTGTTCTGGTATTTTGAGAGCCAGCAGGGCCGACTAGCAAGATACTGAAGCTTGGCACAGTGGGAGATTCCTCCATCCACACAGTTTAGCGTAGATGCAGGAATCTGTTGCACTTTTTCCATCTGACCATAGAAAATCTGCAGATTATCTATAGGTGTATGGCCAGCTTTAACATGCATATTATTTCATCAGAACCCTGAAAATACAAAAAATACAAAACACAGAAAAATTTACCAAAAGTGACCCTGAGCACCACAAAAAAAAATAAAAATAGAATAAATATTACTCCATCGCCCGACGTTCCTTGTCCCTTGACGTCCAGTTTATCCCATTGTCAGTATTGATTCACCCTTGTTTGGTCCACTCCGACAATAGATCCTCTCGAATAATACGATGATGCATTATATGTATGTCTATGTGTTTTTCCTACCCTATCTCTTTGTGGAATACCGCTCTGTTTACCGTTAATGGTTTGTTAAGTGGTCGTTATAGTGACTTTTTGATGGTATTATAGTTATTTGAAGCACTGTTGATCCGCATACATCTATAACCTTGTATAACGCTTGTCCTCTAATGTTCTGTGCATGTGTCGGGTTATTATGGTGTCTATCTTTCCTATGTATTACAACTGAAAACTCAATAAAAAAGTACATGCTTAAAAAAAAAAAAATAGAAAAGAATAAAATTGTATAAGTATATAGATGGAGACGAAACAATGGCAGCCAATGTATGTCTTTATGCACTTTTCCTTTTAGTTGGCCAATAGAAACAAAGTGCCTAGCTGCTGTAAGACTTCCGATCAATTCACTCACTACAAGCTTTTTCATGTAACAAAGACTAAAAAGCAAATGCATTTTATTCTAATTATGATCTATGGGATCTAGAGACTATTAAACACTTCAGCTCAACACCTATCGCTGCGGACAAGCAAAGTTCCGCTTTTTTCCCCCTAATGCAATGCAAGGCACAAATGTATGTCAGTTGTTATTGTGTTTGACATCAACATTAATTTCTTCCCTCCGGCCACTATTTAAGCAATTGGAACAAGGTGAGGTTTATGAAGCCACTGGGCTTATCTGCAAAGAAAGGACCTGAAGTAATATGCAGAAATAAGGCAGAGGGTGATAGCTTGTGACAGCTTCTGTATCAGCACTTCCTTCCAGGAGAGCTCCATCTCTGTGCTCACAATTATGCAAAATGCAGACAAGAAAAACCTTAAGGTCAACTTAAACACAGTGTGGTTAATGTGAGACTGAAGCTTTATTATAAAAGAAAAGAACTTACTGTACAAACTTAAAAAGGAAACAAAAACCAAGAAAGGGATAAAACACAGACATACTTACACGTTTGTTGCTTTTGTATAATTAAAACGTGGAATCGAGGTAACAAACAATGTTACTTCACTTTGATTTCAGGTTTAATAATGCAGAGAACCTTATTTAAATTGTATTTACATTATTCAGAGACCCAATCCCATACCCCCATCGCTTCATTGAGATACCCCCAGGTTAGGAACCCCTATCACACATTTTGATTAACCACATTCTCCCTTTAAAGCTGAATTCCAAATAGAAATATTTATGCTGTATATACTTCCAGCTTGGCCCAATGTAGTATATATATTTTATACCTGGAGGGGTCATAAAGGATCATGAAAAATATTGTAGTAGCCACAGCTACAATTTTCTGATTGAACGAGAAGTGCTGTGATGTCACCGTCCTTCTTCCAATCAGAGAATGCCTAGTATTCATTGATAACAATACTAGGTGTTCGCTGAATAGCTGAATAGACGCTGTGATGAGCGAGCACTCCTCAGCACAATGGCAGTACAGGGATCAGAAGATCGCAGTAAAGCATTGTAGTAGTTTAGGCTACTACAGTGTTTTATGGAATCCCTGTCAGACAAATGTAAGTATACCTTGAGTTGAGTTTTATGGTGAACCTGCATCAAGGCAATCAATATTAAATGGACAGAAGGCCAACAAAGCAGACACACCACTGACCGAAACTGGTGAACCTTTAGTGAAACCATCTGACTTACAGCTCTATCTTGTGCCCAATCCATTATAACCACTGCCTCTATAGAGCTTCTTCACACCACATCATGACGTTTGTTTGCAAAACGTGTTAAAAAATGCAATAAATCCTTGCTGTGCCATTACTACTTAATGGCACCCCAAACGCGGCTAAGCAAACGTGTGGTTTTTCCCCGGGGCTTGCACAAGTTTAAATGTGCACAAACACGGAGGAAACAAATGCGGAATGCATGCCGCAGATTGTGCTACATGTACTACTTTCCTGCATTTTTCATGCATGTGGGAACCTATTGAAACTAAAGGGGACATGCAGCAAATGTGGTAACAAAATGTATGAAGGTCATGTTGCACTCTTTACCGGATACCCCTCTGACAGGGGTGGGGGCCCGCAGTGACTGCAAAGCTGCCACTAGATGCATGCATCGTTTGAAGAAATGCCACCAGCACACCAAAAGTCCTTTCCAGATAACTATGTGTTCATTTATTGAGAACCATGTCAAATGGAAACAAGCACTTCCAGGGCCACGCAGGGTCCCTTCATCAATGCTAAGCCTGATGCAGGGACCCTGTGTGGCCCCAAAACGCTTGTTTTCATTTAACATGGTTCTCAATGAATGAACACATGGTTATCTTGAAAGAACTTTTGGTGTGCTGGTGACATATCTTCAAACAATTTAAACGTGGGAACAAAACATGCACGAACATGCGTGAACAGGAAGCTTGTTCCTTGTGCGCCTAGGTGTCAATGGGGACTAAGGATTATTTACTACTAAAGGGATGCTGACACTGTACCTTTCCCTATTACAACACAGTAAGCCCACCAGCTAATTATAATGACCCCAGACCCCCCCCATTCAGGAATCAGTTTGGAAAGGACATGCTGCAACAAACAGCTTTTTCTTCAGAACAGAAACAAAGTTTGTTGAAATCCTTGCATTGTACATAGGATCTCCCAGAGAGGATTGATTGTTTTTTTCCTAACAATGGTGAAATTGCTCTTTAACATTGTCACAATCATCTCAGAAGCTCTAAAACATAAAGGCCTCTAAAACACAAATGTCAACACTTCATGAAAGAGGTGGCTGGCAAGCTTCCCTCACCACCATCTTCCTATTGGCCAGTGAGGCTACCTATAACTGAGACTGGGCCAGTAGGAAACTAACAAGTGTAATGTAATTTATCTTGATACAGGAAAGGAATTTGCATGTTCTCCCTTTGCTTGCGTGGGTTTCCTTTGGGTACTCCGGTTTCCTCCCACACTCCAAAAACATGCTGGTAGGTTAATTGGCTCCAGTCTAAATTGGCCTTGTATGTATGTGACATAGGGACCTTAGATTGTGAGCTCCTTGAGGGTAGGGACTGATGTGAATGTGCAACTATGTAAAGCGCTGCATAAATTGTCGGCGCTATATAAATACCTGTAATAAATAAATAAATATTTCATAGGTATGTATTTCATCCTTAAAAAGGTTGGCTGCCTTTCGTAGTATTCTTGAATAATATCTTCACTTCATTGATGGCTTTTGCTAATTTCCTAGAAATGGACTTTTGTTGTTTTTACCAAAATAATTTCAACATACTTATATAACTTGTCAAGTATGTCAGATGCCAGGTGCTATCAATACTGACTTTCCAGTTTCTTCTCACTGGGAGTTAAACTGGCAGTAGGCTCGCCCTTCAGAGGCTGCATCCTTAACTATCTCAGCAGACCTTTGAAGAAGAGCCAGACAAGACATTTCACCTTCACAAAACACACAGATATCCTATTTCTGGTGCAGGCCAGGAAACAGTTCCAGGTTCAAACAGCTTGCGCCGTATTATCACCGGAGACAGAGTGTTGTTAATAAAGAGGAGGGAAAAAAAAAGACAAGGTTTCTATTTTGAATGGGACTGGTAGTCTACGAGCTTTTGAAGCTCTCACATACTTTGTAAGTTAAGCTCATCTGGTCTTTAAATGTGCGCTTTCATGTGGTCAGCCCACGAGCCATACGTACTGCTACACAATCATGCCACTGTACATCATCAGGACGAGGATGCTTCACGTTTCCTCCGCTTTTTCAGCTTCAATGAGTTCTGAGCAGCACATCTGAAAGAAACCACCGCCAGAGCCAGGCGAACAATCTGACTCAAACCAGATGAGGCTCTATTATAGGTTAGGCTGCAAATAATGACAATGTTAATACAAAGAGACCCCAGGATATCCTGCAAAGGAGCGGATTTATCTGCACAATCTCTGAAATGGATAGTGGTAATTACCGATGCCGGCTCCGAGCTTGAAGACTACACACCGTACTCCACACTGACAGTTTGTCACAACTGTTTTGTTTTTTTTCTTCCTTTTGTTTTTGTCTTCACGCTGGAGAAAGTTTTTTCAGCAGTGTTTAACTGAAAAGTGAGGCTACAATAGCTGATCTAAAAGATCCAGCAATTCAGTAAAATACAGCTTCGGTGGGAAAGAAATCATAAGTAGCCTTTTGTAAAGGTTTAATGCGAACCTGACAAATTCAACAGCGGTGCTGAAGTGAACATCTGCCACCCAGCACTCCATTGTGGGCAGAAGGGGTATTTCTCTTCGCTCCACTGGACAAATGTAGCAGCACTGGGGAGAGAGGGGGTTGGCAGAGGAACAGGTTCACTTTAAACCTGTGTTACTGCTTGATGCCTGCAAGTACTTCTGTTAAATTCAATACCCACTTGAAAGGCCCCTTTCCCCAAGATGATCTCAGGCAACAGAACTGAGGCCTCAGATCTTCTGACCATGGTGCTATGCCACTTACTGCACTCTCACTATTCAATAAGTGCTCTTAAGCAGCCAAGGAGTACACCCCTATTGGACAGTGGGACTGGAACTGACACCTCTGTTTTATTTGAACTTAAAGAGATTAGACATGTTCCCTCTACTGACAAAAAAAGGAGAGTGCCCACTCAATCTCCATGTGAAGGATCGTTTCATAATTTGCTTTTATAAAATGGTCATGTACTCACAAGAGAAAAGTGACACAAGTGTATTCAATGGTTCCCCTCACAGAAGGCTGTCGCCCAATCAAGGCCACAGCCAAATCAGCTCATGACCAAAGTCGTCTTCCAACAGCAAGTGGCAGGGTTCTGATGGGCGACAGCCTCCTGTGAGGGGAACCATTGAATACGCTTGTGTCACTTTTCTCTTGCGAGTACATTACCATTTTTTAAAAGCAAATTATTAAACTATCCTTCACATGGAGTGGGCACTCTCCTTTTTTGTCATTGTATAGATGTTAAGGTTCCCTGCCTTGTGGAGCTGCCAAAGTGTGATCAGGTGGAATCAATTAAGGAGGAAGGCTTGCTGTGATTCATTTGCACAGGGAAGATGTTCAATGTTCCCTCTACTGGCTAATAGCATGTTGTGCCAGGGAGGTTTGCACCATACCATGCACACACTACTCCATCGTAGGGTAGATTTAAAGTGACATTAAAGTTAAAAAAAAATTCCCTCCCCCCATGTTAATGTCAGCACTTACCTTAAATGATGTCTCTTAATCCGATCTTCGTATTTCCTGATGTTTTCATCTGTCCCTCCAGAGGTGCGGCGGCTCTCTGATCCAGTGCTGACTCCTCTGTCCTTGCTAGCAGTAGAAATGGGCAAAAAAAACCCAGAGGGTTTAGAACCCCTTTATGGCTTGAGTCGATAAGCTTTTGTTCACAATAGTGGATTTTGCATTCCCACATTCCCTACGGGAATCCGAACCCACTTGCTGCAGGTCAAGTGCAGGTCAGCAAAAAGCCAACCCCAGGTCAAGTGCACCTGTCAATGAATTCTGGAAGATCTCAGAAACATCTGAAACTGATGCCATCAACACAAGCCCTTAGGGCCTGTTCACACCAAATGCAGTGCGCTCCGGCCCAATTCTGGTCAGAACGCACTGCCTCGCTTCTTTGTGGGGCAGGAGGGGGCGTGGCGGGCCATTAAAGTGAATCGCACCGTAGCAAAGGCCTACAGCCGCAATGCGATCGGCCTCACGGGATCGCAAGGCACATTATGCCTGTGGTCCAGTCCAGTGCGATCAAAATAGTGCTTGCAGAGTTTTGATCACACCGGACCGGACCGCGGGCATAATGTGCCTTGCAATCCCGTGCAGCCGGAGGGCATGGCTACAGTGCCATTCACTTCAACGGCCCACCACGCCCCCTCCTGCCCGATAAAAAAGTGAGCCGACCGCAATGCGAGGCAGTGCGTTCTGGCCAGAATTGTTCCGGAAAGTGCTGCATCTGGTGTGAACAGACTCTTAGGCCCTCTGTCCTTCCTTTCACATCAGAGTTCTCCTTTTACATCAGAAGTCCCATTCACATCAGTTTTCATTTCCCCTTAACATCACAGTCCCACTGTCACGCCTGCTATAGAGAGCAACGGAGTGGATCGCAACTGCGGAGGTTATGTACTTAGGGAAGTATGTGAAGACTGCTTCTCAGGCTTGACTCTCAGGTGTCACTCTCAGTCTTAGCGGAGAGTTTGAGAGTCTAGCATCACAGCTGTATTTTAATCGAGGTATTGAGGAAAGGCTATTACGTCATAGCCACACTTCACCATTAGAACTGAAAAGGTTATACTGGTTTGCGTTTGGAGAGCGGCAGGCAATATACTGATTCATGCAGGATTTCCCCAGAGCACAGATTATAGTAATGCAAGGCAGTCTATATCACATACAATGTGGCAGAGCTGATTGTCAAATAAATGGCTCCAACTGGAGCAGTACTTGCGATTCAGTTTTGTGGAGCAGCTCTGGTGTATCTCCTCAGGCTGAATCCTCTCTACTGTCCCGTGTTTGGAGTTTCAGCTTTTTTGGGATACTTGTGAAGGGTGATGTTCGTGTATAGAGCTTATAGGGTATGTAATGCTTCTTATTACAGTAATAGGACTGATTATGTGATTATCGCAGGCATGTCCCTCCCATTTAGCACTTGCTTGTGGCAAGTGCACTGGCATGGTGTATCTTAGGTCCCAGTCATGCTATGCTGTTCTTGCGAAGCAGCAATGCCTGTGCGATTTAAAATGAATACAACTGCAAAATGCTAATGCACGTAACGGGCGTGTTTTTGCAATGCACCGCAATGCAAAAGTGTGATTTAGCCCTTACAAAAGGTCCTGAAGTGTGGAAGCAGTAGGATCCCTGCAGGTGATATTTTATCCATCATGTCTTGTTCTTCATTATGTCTCTGTGTGGAGGCGGACATCCTGGTAAAAGAGAAGTGCTTTGCTTTCTTATGTCCGAGATACCCTCCTTATGACTGGTAAGAGAATATTTAGGAAGCAGCAGAAGAGTGAGAAAGTAACAGAAGAAGGGAGATCCTTGCACTGCGAGTCCGCAGGTACAGCTTCCTCTCCTGCAAGGAGAAGAGTGAACAGCACAATGGTCTCAGCCCCCAATCTCACTTCATAGCATATACAACGAGCAGTCAGAGGCACAGAACCTTAGAATTCACACTGCAGATACACAGCTATGATGCTCAAGTCACAGGATTGTCTAAGTACAGGAAATGCAATGCTACTTTAGGGAAAAATTTAAGACAAAAAGTAATTCCAGCATGCCCTTTAATCTTGCACAGTTGTACCGGCTCCTTTCCTTTACTGAAATTGCTTAGTCTGATTTCACTGCACGCTATAAGCTTTTCATAGTGTGTATTAGAAGCGGCAGCAAGTCGGATAAAGTCTATTTAATTTCCTGGCTGGAGGATGTCAAACATCATATTGCCCTTTCTTCAGTCTTACTGTCCCTGGCCCGCCCCTTTCACTCACTGGATTTTAAGTCTTTCAATCACAGAGGCTCAGCATCATATGGGGGCATTACATAGGGTAGTCTGCATGCAAATACTAACTGCCTAGGACCGGCCACTCCTCCAAGCTAACATCCACCAATCAAGGCAATTTGATATTTACATAACTTCTCCCAAAAGGCAGTCAAATGCAGGGTGCTGTGGTGTTTTCACAAAGTATATACAGCACCCTGCTGGCTCCTCCTACCAGCCATGATCTATCGGCATTGCACAGAGAAGCACAATAACACAGTGATGGGCATGTTGGTAGGTATGAAGTTATGTAGGGGTAACAAAGGTTTTATTTTAAAATGCCATTAGCATGTTGTTAAAGGGGAAATGAGGAACCTGGAAATGTAAATGCAGATTTAAAGAGGAACTTTACCCATATCTTTAAAATAACAACAAAGACACCTTTAGAAATGTTTAGTAATGACAATCTACAATCACATATTTCTAGATAACTGCCGGCTTTATATTCTTTGCATACCTTATTTCTCTTTTCTTTCCCAGTCTTCTGACAGTGGCCATTTTTAATAAGGGCAGATTACTATATTTCCCTTTACTTCCTGGAACTCTGGTACATGTGACTAGGACATGTGACCATGCACATCTCACGGGAGGAAAATGCCTTTCCCTGAGATCTAGTAAGATTACAGATGAGATTTCCCAGCAATGCACTGCTGATTTAACCTTCCCAGGATGCAACGCTTGGGCACAGATTACATGATTAGTGCCAAAGAGGGCCAGGAAGTGGAAAAACAGTAACTGTAAGTAAAAGCAAAATATATGTGTATTTAACTCTGCATTTTAAGATGTTTTCCTATCACCATACAGAGCTGCATGCTGATGTGATTTTAGTGAAAGGGGGTAAAGGTCCACTTTAACATTTCTTGATGTTCCCTACAGGAAGATCCACTTATATCCCAATAGACCTGAAGTCTGCAAGGATGTGCAATAAAATTGTTGAAATCCTTTAATGTATTTAGTTAGCCTGGGGATCTTTGTTTTGTAAAACTCCACTTGAGACTTGAGGAATTATGGGGAATGTAACCCTATGACACAACCAATTCAGATACACGATGCCAAGGTTATAAAGTACACATGCACCTTTCCCTCCACTTTCTGTATACTGATCATGTAGGCACAGGCGTTATTTTTTCCCCGTCTCTGTCGCACTTGAGCGTAACATCAAAAATCTTCCCGTGGTATTATCTAGTCACTGCCAGTCATTAGCGATTTAGTTTAGCACTTCATGCCAGCTCAGCTGATTACACCCTACCAGCTAATCAGCGTCCATCACTTGTGCCCTACGGCAGTCTTAAAGATACTTTGCTAAGGACATTCAAGGCCACAGGTACGTGCTGAGTAAATTATTGTATAATTATGCTAACACTGGGATTACATCCACATCTGACGGTTTCGGCGAGAAAAAGAGTTTTATATAAAAGGAGCTGGAATCTGCACATAGATTCATTTCTCTCAGGAACGCAGTTCTCAGCGGGAGGCCTCCCAACACGGTAGAACATGAGGTTAAAAGGATGGTGGGGGGTGGAATCTAACCCCACCTGTTCACGGAGCCAGGAGTGTTACCGTGAAGAGGTACTGTACTGCATTTCAGGAAGGGCCTGCATAAAGACCGCCATTTTGTGAGTTTGTCCATAATTTATCCAGCCACAAACTACTCCCTATAAGAAATACTTCACCAGCCAATATGTACTATATACTATGAACTAAATTGGTCTCATTGAATATTCCCAATCTCATTTCAGATAAGCACAAAAATAAATTTAAAAAGACTCCATTCACAGGTTTGCATTTTACAAATGCAATTTCTGCTCGTATCGAAATGCATTGTCTTGTTTTAAAGGGGATGAAAGCTGTAACCGAATGACGTGCAGTTTACTAAAGCACTGTGCATCAAACAGTTGCCTCTTTGCAGCCACTTCTTTACTTTTCGCCCACAAATGGATAATGTCATTATCTGGAATTTGAAGCATACATACATGAATTAAGCAAACGACTCTCAGGCATTTCATGCTATGCTAGTGAGTTGTTTGCAGCATTCCTGTATGTACCCTGCTTAAAGCCCACCTCCGGGCAAACAAACAAAAAAAAAAAAACTACCCTTGCAGTAAGAGTACCCCCTCACAGGGGTCAAGTGCTTGTTTATGCAAAGTACTTTTACTTAACTGATTCCCGCTCTCCCGGCAGTCAGCACTCGCCTCTCTCTAGCTGGTAGAATGTCCCTCGGCATCTATGGCACCTGCATTAGACGTGATCACATCAGCGATCCTTAAACCACTGGATCAAAGAGGAGAAGAAGCTGCAGGGACCAGGTAAGTAAAATAGCTTTTTCCTGTCCCCTAGGCATAAATGAGCACTTAACCCTTGCAGTGTGGAGACAGTCCTACTGCAAAGCTACTTTTTTGGTTTGCCTGAAGATGCCATAAAAACCTGACAAGAGCTTCAAACCCTTCCACACTCTATCCAAACCTAGTAAAAACAATTTAGAGATACACGTGAAGGGGCTGATTTATAACGCATTCACACAGCGTATAACTCTGCAAACAACATTCTCAGAGCATTGCTGCCACTAGATGGAGCCAAGGAGCATAGGAATTTCCTATGCTCCTTGGCTTCATCTAGTGGCAGCAATGCTCTGAGAATGTAATTTGCACATCTATATGCTGCGTGAACACGTTATAAATCAACCCCTAAGTGTTAAGGAAGGGGATAGTTAAGAGTAATGGGTTACAAGGGTAGTAGAGGGAGTTTTAGGACTGTTTTGTATCTAGCATTGAAATTAAAGTGGCAAACACTCCCATCACCGGGGTTCCTGGTGCCCAGAACCATCGCATTGCTATAGAAAGAAGCATTACATTCACAAGGATGTGTTTAATAGCTGTACAAGCTGAGACAATGCTCTCATTCAGACTGCGTTAGCGATATTAGATTTATCATCTTTGCATAGCAGGCTCTCCGTTTTGTCATAGGAAGCTGCAGACACCAGGAACAGTAAGTCAGAAAATGCCACAGACACTCACCATGTATATACAGCACTGCTGGAGCATAATTCAAAACACCTGCATTCCTATGCAATTTAATTACATTATTGCGGTAGAATATCAAGAAAACAGACATTCCTCAAAGAAACAGACAGAAACCATTACAAAACTGATAGCGCTAATATTTCCTGAAAGTGACACCTGCTTTTTGTCACCCGTGAACAAATGGGCCTGCCGGTATTACAAGTGCGGAATATTACCGGGCTGAGGGAAGACATGTTTGAGGCTGTTTGTCACAGCAGTCAGGATGAAAACATTTCCCACTTTCTTTGTTGTCTGTTAATATAAAAAGCAGTTTCTTGCAATGATGTGAACCGCGGTTCTGTGTTATGATTCTATTATCATGGTACAGCGCTACGACAGAAGTACTTACTGCACAACTCTGTTCTGAACCAAAAAAGAAAAACCTATATTAAAGCCCCCCCCTCCTCCCCCCAAAAAAATAAATACATCTGCTACTCACCCAGCTATTTTTTTCTCTTTTTTAGGGCCCAATCACACATCAAGAGTGGGTTCCAGTGCGTTCGGCCTCTGGAACGAACTGGAGCGCAAGCTGACCGGCTCTCTGCATTCAGGGGCAGGAGGGGCCGTGGCGGTGCATTGAAGTCCCCCGCCTGCAGTGCGATGGCCTGCACCCAGAACGCAGGCACATTAGAGTCTGTGTTCCGGTCCAGTGCAATCTGCAAAAATAGTGCTTGCAGTATTTTTGCAGATCACACTGGACGAGAACACAGGCACTTATGTGGCTGCGTTCCGGTTGCGGGCGATTGCACTGCGGGCGGGGGTGTGGCTACTGTGCCATTGACTTCAATGCACCGCCACGTCCCCTCCTGAACGCAGGGAGCCGGACGGCTTGCGTTCCAGAGGCCGAACGCACTGGAACACGGAGTCTGTGGTGTGAGCCGGCCCTTAATGTGCGACAATCAGCAGCATCTCTTCCAGTGGTGTAGACCAGTGATGGCTGCTCAGCCAGCTGTTCTTGCTGCCACTCTCATCAAGACACCTCCTCTTCAACAGTCCCTTTGCCCCACTGTGCTGTAGTGACACATTGCACGCAGAGGTATATTTTGGTGGCATTCATTTTGAACAGTAATCCAACCCATGTTGCAGCACTCAACACCTTATGTCAAGGCACTACCCTGCATTGTAGTGCACTACATTGGAGAAAGTAGTGCTTTGACAGCTTTAACCCAACTCAAGTTAACGTGTCAGCATCTGTCCTACACTGGTTCTATTTTTTTTCTTTTGTTCAACCTGCGGGCTGAACAAAAACAACCCAACAGATTTCTACATCAACGCTTATAAGAGTTGATTGAGGAATGCCCCCCTGTATTTTGGCTATATTCTGCTGTCAGAATACCCAGACAGAGCTGGCAGCCAATCAGTATTTCATTCAGAGATTTCTCCAACTGGCTTCTTCAATCAGCTGATCGAGGGATGCTGGCCAGAAGGGTGTTGACAGTGGCAACCACTGCCCAAATTTTGGCCAGTTCAAAGACAAGTTGCCTTTGATCCATACATCTGACATCACAGGTGTCCAACCCTAGTTACAATATGCAAAGGCCCAGAAGTAGACTTTGCAATGGCCAGACAGGCTTGGCATTTGGAAGCACTGAGGTAATCCCTACAATAGAAACCATTTACGAGTACATCAAAGTCTGACCCTGTTAAGGTTGGGAATAGGGATGTCCCGATGCCACTTTTTTAAGACCAAGTACAAGTACTTTCCCTCAGGTACATGCCGAAGGGGTTTAATCAGGAGTTGCGCTAATATTGCGCAACTACCACCATTTTATTCTATAGGGTCTTGGCATTCAGAAAATATATAATGTTGGGGGGTTTTACATCATTTTCAGGCCTAAAATGTGGAATATAACATGGGTGCAAAAAATGAAAAAAGGGCCGCAGTCATGAAGGGGTTAAGATCTGGCTTATGGGAAAAGTGATGAGTCAATCCCACAAGCAGGACATGAGATCTTTGGGGCATTCTCTACAGAAACCACCAAAGTCATCAGGTTGGAAGGAAGCTCCACTGGGATTTTTCGTCAGTTTTAAAAAATCATATCTGACTTCAAGGGTGGAAAAATGAATTTAGGAATCAGTCTGCCAAACCAGAAGCCAGCAAAACTTTTATTTAGAAGCCAACTCCATTGAGAGCAATTGGAGAAAGCCTCAAACTTTAGGCGCTAGCTGAACTTTTTAAGAAACACTGGACTATTCTCCCAATTGGAGTAAACGTTAATTCCACTATCCCTGAAATTTTATCTATTTCTATTGATGTTTTTTTTTAAGGAGGATAGTTGACTACCTGGCTTCTGGGATTTGTCCAGCCCTGATTTAGGACCTATGCACACTTTTCCATACAAACGTTGAAGCGAATTTGTTGGGTTGCATTGGTCCCATTAGTTTTCCTTAACCCAAAAAACATACCAGGTTTGTTTTTATTTGCCATGTGTTATATTGTGTTGACAGCTGAGGGACATTGGTGACCGCACTGGCATGCAGTGTGGGACCTCAACATGCACGCCCAACATGTGCTGTCAACATGTGTTGTGAGCCCTTGAAATATATTGTTTTTTTAATAATAAATGTATAATACCTGTCCATTTTCTCTACGCTAAGCGCAGCCTGTGATTTGTTTCTATCCCAGATAAAATTGATTACTGCGAAGTTTCTGCATATGCAGAGTTTAAAATAATTCTTCTCCTTGGGCTCATAATGTGGAAATGTCACTATGCATGATAGCTTGTATAAAATAGCTACTTACAGCTATTCTGTCACATGTACGTGATGCTATTCCGCTATGATAAAGCCACAGGGGCGACACTGCCCACGGCACTCTTGAGAACATGGCCCCACACTAACATCTACAGGAAATGGGTCCATTTATCTGAAGAAACTTACAAAGTAATAATGTACAATTAGGCTGTCCCAATAGAGGAGGATTCTGGTTACAGTAAGAGTTGTCTGTCTCTATTCGACAAGAGTGCTTAACCTTTCTTGGCAGGGACCCAACTAACGTCAGTGCATCAAACTGGTGACACACTGTTCTTTTTCAGACTTATTACTATCCAAACATATGAC